TTTTTTTTTTTTTTTTTTTTTTTTTTTTTTTTTGTAAATGGCCCAACTTTGCATGCCACGAAAATTGTTGTACAGTTTCGGGTAATTTTTGGGAACAAAAAATTATTATTATTTTTTCTATTTTTTTTAAGTGTTTTTGGTGGGGAGGAAGGGGGCAGGTGGAAGGAGGAAGGGAGGAGAATGAGGATTACCGCAATGTGAGCCCAATTGTATTTTTCTGTAAGTCGTCGTCATCTTAGAAGCATAGTGTTGTAATCATCTTGTAACGCTTTGTTGTTCATTACAGGTTTTCCTAGTTTTCTGTTTGCTTTGTGCAAAGTTTTCGGGTAGCGGCATGTACCCGTTATTGTTTTTTCCTTCTCGTACTTCTGCTATGTAATATTATTATATCGGTGCTTTGGCGCATAGTGCGGTGTTGATCACTGTTGCCATTCCTTTGTATAAGAGGTCTGTTCAGTATGTACTCTACTCAGTAGAATTTATTGTATGATTTTTCCGGTGGCCCCTTTGCCCTCTTTCCCCTTCCTTGTTGCAATTTTTTACTTTTTTTTTTGGTTTTCTGCTTTAAATACCGTTTACAAATTACAGTTTTTTTTTCTTTAAAGCAAGATCTAAGGTACTTTTTTCACTATCTACTGCCCTAATTGTCGTTGAGAATCATAAGACTGCTGGACAGTGTACAATTCGTTTTTTTTCGTTTTCCCTAAGTGTTTAAACGCTTTGAGTAGTCCGCTAGGGTTCACCTCGGTGTGCTTATTTCCCTGTTTAGAGAAGAACTTGTTTTCTGCTTTATGAATTTTTTCTGTTTATGTATATTTTTCTTTATTCGTTTATTGGTTGTTTGTTGTTGATTAATCGTTATAGAAGTTGAGCAGAGCCTATAGAAGGTAATATTTTTGAAGGTTTTAATGCACATACATTTACACTCAAATATACACATATGTACACACCACCATGTAAACACATATACTTACTCAGAGGCAAAAGAAAAAAGAAAAAACAGAAACAAATGTAAAACACTTATCGGTACGGAAGTAAACATGAAAGCCTTTTTACTCGAAAGTACACAAGCAATCACAGCAATTATGATTTGTCCCCTAAAAAGAAGTTTCTTCCTTTCCCACTTGTTTTTATTAATCCTAAAATCCTAGTTCCTAACTTAGATGACTTCTGGAGGTTTGAAGTTGGGATGCAGACAGTATCTAACACGCAACTTGTTCAGTATTTCGTATATCTTGCAAAAAAAAAAAAAAAAGAAAAAAAAAGCAAAGACTGAGTTTGCTTAGATCTTTTCCTCTCCAGGTTATTCTGTGATATATTACATAAATGCCTCTACGTTTTAATGTAACTATAGTTGTGAAGGTGGGAATTTTTGCCAAAATTTGTCGTGGATTCTGTTAGCTAATTCTAGTCTTCCCTTTTAGAGCAGTTTGTCCAATATTGTTTCTGTTTTGTTCCTTGATCGATTTGT